AGTCTATTTCCGTGTAATTAGTTTATAAGGTCATCAATGTAGATCAAAATATTCTTAATTGCTTTTTTAATCTACTTATCCACTGACTGATAATATCGATGAATCGTTAGACGGTATTGTTATAAAATGTTGAAATACAAAATTTATTTTATTTATTCGAGTAGGTAGAGAAAGAGTAGCTCGGTGGCGTAGTGGATAAGCGCCGCGGCCCGCGATCGTAGTCGTTAAGCAACTTTCGCAAGGGTCGGTCACGGGATGGGTGACCAAAAAATTATTATCTCGAGCTACTCCGTGCTTCGGAAGGCACGTTAAGCCGTTGGTCCCGGCTGCATTTGCAGTCGTTAATACCCTCCAATCCGCATTGGGCCAGCGTGGAGGGTCATGGCCCATTCTCCTTAACCATCCATAAGGAAGGCCTGAGCCCCTGCAGTGGAGACGTAAAGGGGCTGATGATAGGTAGAATAAACTTTGGTATTTGGTGGCTACGTCAATCGTAATGTTTAGTTTGTTTTCCTTGTTTTAGTCAATCATTTTTTTTATGTGTTTTTGTTGCTACTAATATTACACAAGTAAAGATTGTTTTACATTAATTTTACATTCAATATCGTTTATATAATCTAGTCCAGGGGTCGGCAACCCTAATGTGAGTGATCACATATTTTAAAGAACCAATGAGAGAATTCGTTTCAATATTCATCATCACCATTTCTAATCTATTAACGTCCCCAGAGATGGAGCATAGGCTTTCCCTGTGTATGTACTCGTATTCAAATCGAATAGGGTGACTGGGTTGTCTGTAACCCATCACTCAGGAATATTGTATTGATAGGTTGGTGTTAACTATGAGATGCTGCCGGGATCAAGCGGCTAAACGTAACTACCGAAGCACTCGAGATAACAAATTAATGGTCACCCATCTTATGACCGGCCCTTATGAAAGTTGCTTAATTTTCACCTCGCACACCGAACGTGCTTACTACTGCGCCACGTAGTGTCGGATATTATTCATATTATATTTGAGGTTTTTATATAATCGAAGTCTGAAAATATGTTCCTCAGTCATAATCAATATATCTCAGTCGTTATATGGTATGGGTATTCAACTGGTTGTCTTCTTCTGGTCTAGGCTAGTAAAAAACCCAGTGGCGGACTAACGGTGGTGGGTAGGTCGGTCCGCCCCTGGCCTCTTATCCTGGGGGGCCTCCAAATGGCTGATTGTTCCCTTGATCAAATCAAAAATTGGGGTTGCACTGCCTTATCTTTCTTAGTTTCGTAGTTTTAGCAGGCGTCTAAGCAGGGGAGGCGGTGTAAACACAAAATCAAGTTTCTGCAGCAGTTGTAAAAACTTGTAGGTACGGACCTAATACCGCCCCGGGCCCCCGACAGGGTTAGTCCGCCACTGTCCGAAGAAATGCTTTTCTACGGCTACAAAGTGGGAAGGGGAAGACCCCAAACACTAGTCGATCCCTTCCAAAGAATATCCATTTACGGAATAATGTATCGTTTAAATTCACAATTGCTTTCGGAATGAATCATGTTTTGAATGATCAAGAAACACAATTAAATTTACTTAAACCCGTCGAAAGATTGCAATTGGCATTCAACTTTTTCTTTTGATATCTCTCAATAGTTTTCATTTTATCGCTTTGTTTAGATAATTCCATTTAACGATATTATTCATTCAATATCTTCAAAAAGGCTTCTATTGCTTACACAAACAGTTGCCGTAGTAGATCGGTGTAGTTAGTAAAATTCACACGGCTGCATTTCAGACTATACAGTTCGTATATTATAACTACTAACAGAGGTTTGCTTACTGGTTGTGTGTGCGGCGTGCGGCGACAAACGTCAATATAAAACAAATATATCAAAAATATGGAGAAATATAAAAAGAGATCCGTCCAGTGCCGATCTTCAACAATTTATTTCTTAACTAGCTTTCCGCGAGCGGTTTCGCTCGCGTGGTCTTGTATTATACATAAAAACTTGCCATTAGAATCACCATATTTATTTAAAAAAAAATCGCATCAAAATCCGTTGCGTAGTTTTAAAGATTTAAGCATACATAGGGACAGAGTAAGCAACATTGTTTTATACTATATAGTGATGGTTTAATAATCTGTCTGTACAAACGTAATCTTTTCTATAAAAAATATTATTTTTTAAATTAGGTCAACGGCTAATAGTCGATGTTAAATTTAAGAACAAACCAATAATTCGCTCTAAATTGGTCAATCAAGATATACGGGAGTAAAAATCAAGGTCTGTCCGTTTGTCCGTACGTAAGATAACCCGGCGACCTGCGAGTGAATTAACGCTTATCTACTACTCATTCGCGTGTCATTTACGTTCTTTAGATGATACAGACATACATTTTAAACGTGCCATTAAATCTTAATCTATAGGTCTTGGGTAGAGTTAATTCTAAAGCAGGATACTAATTGTAATAAATAAATATTAGACAACATCGGATACGTTGCTCAGATTAATATGAGTACCATAGCTAAAGTATTATGGAGTAGGTATCGGAATTAAAATAATTTCTCGATAGGATACCATAGTTGTACCTTCTAAAGGAGTGTTCGTATTTATTTAAGCTTATTCTGACCTTAAAAATATAATTATATATCATTTTCGTAGCCAATCAATTGCACCTCGTTTTAGGTTAATCTCTGAGATCCCGGGATCGATTTCCGGTCGAGTCAATTATTATTTTTTCTATATTGTCTCGGGTCTGGGCGTTGTTGTACGTTCGTTGTTTCAAACTTCCATAATTCAAGCACTTAGCTACTTGGAATCTAAGCAATGAAGATAATAAGTCATATCTAATAATTATTAATTGTGTTGTGCCTACTTCTTAATTCCTAAAAGTGTAAAATGTTTCGTCTAAATAAAGTTCATCTAATTATTTCCTGTATTTAGCTAATCAAGTTGAAATATAAACAAGAGGTGAATGACACGGTATTTTCCCTCGTATCCACAATATGTGATAATTATTAGGACAATAAACTTATTATGTATGTGGAACGTCATGGTTTTATTAGTTTTGGCTCAACAGATGGCGTTAGCGATCTAATCTGATTTTTTTTAAAATTTTGTATTTTTTACAATATTATTAATTAATTCAACTAAGACAAAGGTTGATCTTCGTTTTCAACAATGCTTTAATTACCCTCTAGTTAACTTTATTTGTGAAAATTGTTGCTGTTTTTTTCATTATTTACGAACATTTGCGACATTGTTCAAATTAATAATTTATCAAGATTAAGCTTAATGCATCAAACAGTTAGAAGCAGTTGAAGGTAAAAACCACTCGCACAAAGACAATTGAAAATAAAAATGTGAAAAAAGAAATAACACAGCGGCGACATCATATCCCTAGGTTTAGGCCCATCCATATTAATTAAGCAACAACTATTATAAAGCTATTCTGGCGAACCCTCAACAACAGTATTTCATTTATGATTGCGAGTACCAAAGTCTATATCGTATGTATTGTTAATAAGCTTACAGATTCTAAATATTTGACAATAAGCGAAACAGTCTTATGAAAAGGCAGACAATTTTCATAAGACTATTTCGCTGTTTCAAACTGTTTCAAAATTCTCTTTGCTGGAGCTCAGGTCGTCTCTATAGATGAAATCGAATCGAATAAGGAGAATGCGCCATGGACCCACCACGTGGGCCCAGTTGTGGATGTTAACGATCGCAGATGCAACCGAGAGCAAGAAGCACGGAGAAGCTTGAGATATTAAATTTTGGTCACCCATCCTATCACCGACCTTTGCGAAAGTTGCTTAACAAAGCGCATTAACCACTGCGCCATCGAGCTCCTACCGAATAGTAATAAGTATATATAAATTTGCCTCTAGCTATACAATTATACACATTATACATATAATTAAACGTCAAACATTTTATATAAAACAAAAAAATAAAACACCGTAATAATTTAAAAAAAATCATTTAATTTCTTTATGCTTACAATATTATATCTCAAAAATATTTACATCAGTTGCTTTATTTAAAAATAATAATGTAATCACCGTATAATTAATGTAAATGCATTCTCAATTTGATCCCACAATTAGTTGAATACATAAAGATAGCATAATTAAAGTATTGCACTTAAACTCATTATCATAATTACCTAAACTAACGACATGCACAAAGTAATTGTATATTTGTAACTTTTTTTAAACAGCTCTAAAAATATTGTATAATAATTATTAATATAATTTAATAATTAACAAAAGCATTTTTTTAAATACATTTTTCATTTTAAGTAGTAATTTTCGAATAATTTTATTACTAAAAATCGCTTATTTTATTGTCCAAGTGTATTTAACACCATAATATTTTTAAAGAAGAGGCATATATGTAGGTAGTTTCTTAATCTCATAATTATATGGAGGAAAGAAATTAATCAATTAATAAACACATTTTCCAGGGGACATCGTTTACCAATACCAATAAAATACTTATTATATTTAATATCTTTTCCGATACTGATTCTCAGTAAAAATCACAGCAAGTTGCTTCCTCAGATGGTCTAGTTAAACAAATTTAATTATTCATCTTTAATTGGTAAGTTCAAAATTGATTACATAAGTTTTAACTTCTGCTGCTGTATGTACAGTCAACGGCAACTTTTAAATTATACAAAAAAAAAAAGAAAACTTTAATTTACTTTGTGGAATATTTGAAGAGCTCACTGTACGTTACATTACGTGTACAGCTATAATTTTCAGTTAATCGACTCTTGTGGTGAGTGCTTTTAGTAATAAGAACAATCAATGGTGTATTAATCTCTGATTTGATATAAGTTTTATCGTATTATTTGGCCGCAAGCATGGCTTCTCATACTGTCTAATATAATGCAAATATTATGTAAATAATTACTTTTAATATCTTAATATAAACTCTTTGAGTTTTTGTTTTTCTATGATCGGAAAGTAAATAATTCCAGAGTACAACTTAATGTTTCCGCGCCCAAATCGACTGACTGTACGTTAGAATAGTATATTTAAAAAATATATATTTACTTTTAAAATTATAGAGAGACTTAAGTTATATTTTTGGTATTTTCTATTTTAGGACGGCACTCGAGTTTATTGATTAATTTCGATTCAGTAAAACATTTTTTAAACAGTTAACAATTTTCATCTAGTGAACAGCTATCACAATCAATACGCACTAATTTACCTTGTCTATGGTTCGATTCCCACTGAAGCGGAGTCGTAGTATTTAACACACTTGTAATATTTTTTTTTACTTTAGTCAGTACTCACATAATTTTATTGCTTTATACAAATTTGTACATTATTCCACGGTGATTAAGTTCAATATGGTATATATAAAATGTCTGTCAGAATCCACTTCAGTGGCTACCTATAATAATACTATAGTGATAACAACATCCAATTTCATACATCACATATTACTCTCCCAGAGTTTTAAATAATTGTCTATAACTTCTTCGAACCACTTTCTCTTTTTGGCGTCTTTGAACGCAGGCGATAATGTTTTCAATTCTAATTGCAGCAAAGCTTCGTTCCCTAATAACGTGTCGAGATTCCTCAGTAACGCCGGCTCTCCGTGCAATTTGAGGAGGCTGGGATATGAGAATATATAGTAATGTACTCTCAATCGTTTCATAGCCCAACTCTCAACTGTCTTATTACCACTGGCAACCTGCAAATAAAATATTAATAAACAACACATACGTTGCTCAGACCCACATACTAAAGTCTTTAATTTACAAAGTTTAATTTCCTACATTGACCGGCAGGCCTACCGTATCTTATTTTCTGATTTATCTGTCTATTTCTGATTGATCTGTGAAAATGATGCCTTGATTGATATGTTAGCCTGACAGGTCAACTGTCAGCAGACCAATGGATTTCAGAAATACTCTTTCTAATAAAAAAAAAAGAAACAAAAGCAACAATCATTTTAGACTAAAGAAATCACTTATTTGTTTCTTTCCAACAATGCAAGTTGGAAAGAAAAAAAAAACAAATTTACTATCGAGTAAATAAGCGTTAGAATGCCTTAAGTAACCAAAATTAGTAGAATTATGATTTGTTAATTTTTAGTATAATGGTGTAAGTATAAAATAATTATGAATATGTTAATAAGTTTTGTTAGTATGACTGTTAGTATGAGGAAATGTTAAGAGTTATTTCCGGGGTAATTGAATAATTGAATTCAAAATTCCATAATTATTATATCCCTATTTAACACCTTTATAACATAATAATACGTATTCATATTTTAGTTATTAAATGAATGTCAAATACTCTATTATCACGTTTGAAAAATATATGTCCAATTGACAATATCTAGGTACCCTGCAATGTCAAATAGAACAGAACAATGCGTCTGGTGTTTATATAACAGGTTATAGATCTAATATCCAGTCCAGTTCTAAAATGTAGCAACGTCATATTAAAAAAGATCACAAACTTTTTTAATATAACTATGCAACATTTTAGACTACTTTTTCTCGGACATTGTTTAGTGCCACAATGTCATGTTGTCTAAGTCGCCTAGTGTTTAGTCCCATAATGTCTAGTCCCAGAATCCCACATTGCCTATACATATTATTGATAAGTTCCACGTTGTCTAACTCTCCCACTGTTTAGTCTAATAATGTCTAGTTCCTGATTATCTAACCCCCATCACTATTGTTTAAAAATACAATAGATATTGCCATCTTAAGTATGTACATTACCTTGATTTGCCCTATATGCTTAGCATGCCAAGGCGAGAAGTATCCCTCCAACTCTTTGGCAGTTATATCGGCCACGCCTTTACTTTTAAGTCTCTCTTTGATCATAGTGTAAGCAGTTCTAGAGAACACAAATACCTGAAGTGAGAGCATAGACAAGGTTTACAAGGATGTATGATGCATATAAAACAATGAACATATTTTTTTACTTTCAGGCATAATCATGTTATCCTAATGCGTGTACTCCAGAATTTTAGAAGGGTCAAACCTGGACTGATTTTGTGACATTTAATAACTATACTGTAACATTATTTTTCCGTCTCTTTCTTACCAATAGGAAATAGATATAATAATTACTAACATTATTAAAAGTAATATTAACTATGTATTTTATTAATACTAAAATATATTTTGAATTGAAATATAAATATTCTCATTAATAGAAAATATAGAGATCAAATTAGAAACATCACCGCCATCTATAGATGCCGAATTGCCTAACATAAAAGCCAAAGATTTTTTAATCGAACAATTAAATCAGTTATCCTTTGCTTTTAATGTCTACTTTCTTTGTCTTATGACGGTTTCACTAACCAAGAACAAGGCATAGCTTAATTAGAAATCACTTAATAGCGAAAGCAGATTTGTGGTTTTATCAAACCTATAACATTAGGATTACCTAAGGCATTAGCCTTACTAAGCATTTGCTTAGATAGGCAACGCTTTACTATTATTTTTTTTTATGTATGCCTATACTTGCGTTTATACAATTACACTTGCGTCACTTTAGTGTCATTTACACGAAAAGAAACAATAACAAAGATATATATTTTGAGGTAAAAAAAACAAGAAAAATTATACGTGGTCTTTTATTTACACAAGCGCCCAAGTCAATATATAAAAATTGTGAAAATTCATATCATGGTTTATATCATAATTCTAATATATAAACTCCTTGATTCCAACTTACTAAATTGATTTTATCCCTTGACACATCCGTTATGGCCAAAGAGTAAATGAATATGTCACATTACGCAAATGCCGAGTGCTAGGCGCCGCAATGTCCTAACTTTAAGCAAAACCTTGATCGCCATCTTTCATTAATTTCATTTTCATTTTACATGTAGAAATTAATTTATTCACTTGACATTGGCAAAATTGTGCGAAATGCGCATATAAACCACTAATAAAAGAAGAAGAAGAAGCAAAACCTTAGACAATGTCCAAATATTTAGGTGTCAGGTTTGAGCGACTCCTAAGTTTAGTGAAAACGATCATTAGTCCCTCCTTTGGGACGCTTAGTTTACTCGGTTATGACGTCATAGTCGGTACATTTCTGCCCGTAGTTAATCAAGATTTAAATTTAAATATTGCGTTCTCTACAAGTTATTCGATTAATTTATTTACAGAATGCGTATATTCTAAGTACACAAGATTTTGTTAAACACTGTTATTAAAGCATGAATGCGATGAAGTGCTGATCATTATCAAATGGAGATAGTTTTAACTGACGGATTAGTGTAAGAAAGAGAGAGGAAGAGCATCGATAATGAACTATGCGAACGTGAAAAGATCGTATGACAGAAAAATGTATGACAAAATTTGCGAATCAGTTGGCACAGTCCAAACCTTGACCGCTCCTACGTGTTCGGCGAAAAATGGTGAGAAATAATTATTCATATCGCTGACTGGTATGTCCGTGATACCCTTTGCTTTGACACGCTCTTTTATCCTAGAGTACACGCTCCGGGAGAACACGAATACCTGGGAAAAGTTAAGGTAATTTACAGAGGTACAGTACAACCGATTAATAAGTAACACCCGTTGTAACTGCGCAGGAGTTTAATTTTTTAAAGGAGATAAATGATCGTTGCCCATCGTATCGCGGTTACGCGAGGGCCATGTTCGTTTGCTATTAGTTATGCAGGATAATGCAAACAGTTTAAAAATACCCGTTAATAAATGTTTATTAAACCAGGTTTTTCGTAAACGCTCCTTCAGAATGGAATGGTTTCACGAGTATTATACTATAGGTTACTTCCAAACTAATATCAAAGGGTGGAGCTTCTTTCTAGCTAAGAACTAGGTGATCTAGATCACTCTAAATTTTTCAATGATTTTGTAATTGCTTTTCATTAACGAAAAATCAGCTTTAGATAGTTTTTATATCGCTTTTAGCTTGCTTTCTTCTACGCAGAACCAACACAGTCTAGAGCGAACACCCACAAATTCGTGTCTCGCCCTCGAGATGGGCTTAATATAGCACGTTCTCTATGTGATTGGAGGGGATTCGTTAATTAATATGGTCATTCGTCGAACGCAGCTTTAATTAGAGTGGTGAACGTAAATTTTATCAGCAACGGTAATTATTCAACAATAATTACTATAACTTTACTGCGTTTCCTGATCATTACAACTGCGAAGTGTGTTTTCAAAACTTGCACATCGATTTGTAAACACACGTCACGTTTTCGTTCACCCTACATTGCTCACGTTAAGTTGCACGTTTATCGATAGGTAAATAACTTTACCGTTTTTTAATAGTACAATAAATAACGCTTAACAGTTTATTAATTAGTAACATTACTAAAGTACTTAACGATATTTATCAAAAACTATTATTTTTACATTAAAATGTTCATAGCAGGTTTTGTATAAAGCGAAATATAATTACTCGAAAAACAATGTTTATGATAAAGTAAAACTCATGTCAGCAGTACTATTCTGTAAAATATTGTAGCTTCAATCAAATAAAAACTATTTCAAAAGGTAAGAAAGGTAATACTATTTTGTTACTAATAATAACACAAAATAAGCTATTAGCTATCTTTCTCCACCTTATTTGATATCGTTTATGCGTTTTGTATCTCATTATTTACACGAGAATATGACTTGATGACCAAAAATTGAGCGATTTAATTTATTCAAGAAATACACGCTGTAGGACCGCTGAAAGCTTTGTGGCTGAATCTGTGCTTAGTTTACTAAAAGTTCCGTCTAATAGATGGCGTTAAAATTAAAATTTTCAGTGTATATTTACCTGGTAGAGTGAGTTACCAGTGACATAGGAGGCTATGTAATGCGAGCCATACTTCCTAATGAAGTCTGCTATAGACACGGTGTCACCAATGTTGGCGTCCTGGATTGCCTCCAGCACCACATCCTCTATGGCAATGTTCTTGGGCAACTCGTTTAGTTTAGCCGTTTCACGGAATCTGTAATAACAGAAAGAAAACTTAGCACGGGTGGAGTAAATAGAAGTTTTTAAACATAGAAAAATAAATGGGTCATGGTCAGGTCATGCGAAATAGTCCAAACGGATTTTAATGTGGGTTTCATCAATATATAGAGTGACTTAACCTTCCCCTACTTATATAAATATTTAACAACATCACATACATTGCTCAGATTCCAAGATGAGCAGCTAAAGCCCCCGTATTATGGAGTATCTGAGACAACGAAGGTACCACAACACCCAGACCCGAGACAATATAGAAAAGTTCATTTTTCTACATTGAACCGACCGGGAATCGAACCCGGGACCTCAGAGATGGCGACACCTTGAAACCGGCGTGCGAAGCCGCTGGCTGAACATTAGTATTATATAGAAATATTTATAGCTGTTTAGGTGGGAAAAAGAAGGTAAACAATAAACACTAATATTAACAAAAGCAAAACTACTCCGGAGATATTTTTTAGAAACAGATTTTTTCCGACTGATTAGTGACGACGACACTTTGCCGTGCTCGTCTGTTAACTAGAAATGTAGTACAACGTAGTTTATTTAGCGTTTCATTATTATTCAGTTTTCGATTGTATAAGCCGAGTTCTTCACAAGACGGTGCTTATCTAATACTCTACCTCTCTACTCTAATGCTTATCTAATATCTAATACTCTACAATTCAAGTATTTGAATGAGTGATCACCACTCATCATCAGTAAGATGCCCATTGTTGAGCATAGGCCTCCCCCATAGATTTCCACAACGATTGGCCCTACGATGCCTGCATCCAGCGATTTCCCGCAACCTTTATAAGATCGTCGGTCCACCTGGTAGGGGGCCTACCCACTGAGCGTCGCTCGGTACGCGGTCGCCATTCGAAAACTTTTCCACCTCAAATGGTATAAGTTTTTCTTGTTATGTGCCACTTCAGCTGAGCAATTCTTCGAGTAATGTCAGTAACGTTAGCTCTCCTACGGATCTTCACATTCCTAATTCGATTGCTCTCTCCATTGCCCGCTGGGTGACCTTCACCCTTCTAACGAGATCCATAGTGAATGATCACGTTTCGCTTCCGTAATTCATCACAGGCGGCACACACTGATCGAAGACTTTTATCAACACTGAGAAAAGTGGAATAGAATAGTAGAAATAAAGCTAGATAATAATACCTATATTTTAATGGGATTGATTCTAATATCTACGCGGAAATACAATAATCCGCCCCGGCTTTGCACATGCGGAATTTACACGTTTGAAACTACCAGAAGCAAAATTATTCCTGACATCTGCTAATTTACATATACATTCATAATGTTACCTCCAACGTTACCCGGTCCTTCAGTAAAGATTTTTTTTTAAATCCGTGCTATAGTTTTTAACTTTTAGTATAGGCTTCGTTAGGATATATTTTATATATTGTGATATAACTGAACCGTTTTACCCTGCAGTATTATGTTACAAAATCTTTTACTAGGCATCTGCTAAACTGCATAGCAATATATCGGCAGCAGTTCTTATTGTACTTTTTATAAGAGTTTTTAAGAGCCTTCACAGACTTGTAACTTTCTATTGGCTGATAGTTTTCATTAGTAAGTATAAGTGGCTATGTTTAAATTTAATATCAACTTTCTGCTGAAAAGTCCCTAGTTTGTGGGGCTTAAGTGAACATCACCTGGACACCCTGACCAGCACGTAGCAGTGATCACCGTTGATGAACGAGGAGTTGATGCCCAGGTTGCGGGCCATTATATCCGTTGGCCAGCCAGCGGTGAACGCCCGCCACGGACGCTCCAGCCTGTATAAGTTCAAAATATAGAATATAAAAATCACCACTTCCAAAGGATTTATTCTACATCATGCTGTCCAGATAGGTCATATTACCCAAGTACCATATAATTTCTACATCTGTTAACTAAATTACGCCTGTATACAAATCAAAATATTCAGTTAACAATTTCTGAACATCTGTCAACATCAGTTGACAGTTTCGCCGGGTTTTTGTTCGCATAATTAAGTAGTTTAAATTTGAAATATACATATATGCATGAGTGGTAACAAATTTAATATCACTGCTAATTATTCAACATATGTTTCGTTCTTCCATGGAATACCTCCAAGAGTTGTTAAAACTTTGCAGTAGCAACTACCGAGTTCAGCTTTAATCAGAATGCAAATACAGATAAAATAATTGCATTTTGCAACTCAAGGTTGATCCCAAGGGTTTGAAATTACCTTTCAAAAGAGAAGTCCCTAAAATAGGCCTGCAGCAGCTGCTTCAAGTTATCGCAAAACTCCATATGGAAGTCGCCGTCGAAGAGTGTCTTCGCCTGGCGTGGTTTCGGCGCAACAGAGAACTTGTCCACGTCTCTGAACACGCTGACTGTAGGCTCTCGAAACACCCAGCTCTCTGTGTCGTTCCGCGGCACAACGCGCATGCATATACTGAGGTACCCATATCTGTAAAATTTTGAACAGAAATATATTAATGTAGGCCGCTTGATACCTTGCAACATAGACGTTAGATCGATTCTCTTGAATTAATATGGCTGTGGAACAATGTATTCACAAGGAGCTAATTTCGTGTCAATGCCAAAGTCACTGCATCACTTCAATATCTTTCAAGAATCAGACAAAGTTTGAGAGAAATCTCCTTTATAATACAAAACCTATTTGACATTAAAAAAACTGTTACCACGTGGAATCATAGAACTTTACTTAGGCCGAAGTGTAGAAAAGTATTTTTTTCATGACGTCTGACTTTATTGGAAATCGGAGTGAGACACGTTCAGGCGGCACCGTTATTCCTCGGCAACCAGACATTTTTTGCGATCAATAAAAGTACTTAATTGTCTTTCACAATCTGAGCGACTCTTCAGCCAGATGAATTTTTAACATTACAGAAAAATAACCAGAGCAATATAGTAACATGATTGAAAGTATTTTTAAAAGTCTAAAGCATCTAAAGTGTATTTTTTGTAAAGGATCGTTTGCAAACATTTTACTGGAATTAGCTTCTCTATACTTCGGAGCTACTGTGGTCCAATTTACAGTTATTAGCACGCACCATTTTGTACTGGACTTGTATGTGTCATGGCTCTCCTTTATCTTCACGTGATTCTTCATAGCTTAGGTTTGTGCCTCGATTATGGCAAATTTAATTTGTAGATCACAATATTCATCATCCAGACGAGGTTCTTTACCATCATCAACTGACGAGATTGTTAAATCTCGCAGAAAATTTCAATATTTTCAATTAGATTCCAGAGTATCCAACTAACCTCATAAATATGTTGATCGCTTTACCAACGCCCAGTTCGGAGTCTAGTGCGGTGGCGGCGCGGCACAGAGCTACCACCAGCAGCGCTGTGACAATCCGCACCATCACACCGATACTGATTACCTTCAAACAAAAACAATAGACCATTAGATTATAAAGGGTTCTCCAAGTTCCAACAAATAGTGGCGACTGGGTAAATGAAAAGAAAATCTATTAAGTCCGTCAGTCCGATAATAGAAAAATATTAGTTTTTTTTTTTAAATTAAATTTAACAAGAAATAGCTTAGATAACAGGCATTAAAGTTGAGGAGTAGGTGCACGCTTCGTCACAGTTTTGTAGAAAATGTATCAAAGCGTGACGTCACGCGACATTTCAACGGCTTATTCCGTTTATCCACCCTCAAACACCCACATTAAGGTGGATACTCGGTAGCGCGTCTTTATCTATCCACCCTGAACGGGGTGGATAACAGGAATCCGCATCATAATTTAACTTCCGATTTTCTCCCTTTCCTGTGTACAGTCATTTAAAAAACGTATGAACCCAGCCCAAGATACTTGATACCTAACATTAAAATACGCGTCTCATATCTTTCAACGATCTATTTGACGGACAAACAGATAAAAATTAGTCGTCTTCCCTATTCAGAATAGTGGAAGTTATCCCAGTATTTTGGGTGGATATTTGTAATGAATACTTTTTAATGGATAGGTAGGTATTTTAAAAATATCATTTTAAACTTCTTTGTGTATTCTAACTACATATACAGTTGTTATCATTTATTATCGCCTACCTAGGGAACATTGGCGCTCTGGTGGGTGATGTATGAGGGTTCTGTAGGTAATTGAAAAGAGCCAATGTCAGCGTTAAGTTTGCTTTCGCAAGGGTTGGTCATTCTTCCAATTCGATTTTGTCCAAAGAGAAGGCTTGCGCACTAGCTAAGACATTTATGGGCTGAAGATGATGCATTAAAAATTTAAAAATCTATGTATTACATATAATTAAGTGTACTCACTTAAAGAGCAAGTCTTGAAATTATCGATGGAAATTTTTAAGATCGTTTTCATCCTTTCACGTAATTAGGTATACTCTTATTATAAATTAGCTGCTTTTCGCAACTTAACGCTACAAAATTATAGCGTTTGTTATGTTTATAATATAAGTATAGGTAGGATATTAAGTTTATTCATTATTATCCAGAATTGGTGTATTGACATCATTGACATAATCTTCACTAAAAATTGGGTACACGCACACAATATACTCTCACACAATATGACACCTTACTATGAAGATATAAGACACATTCTCGCTTCAAAAGTGTTAAAGTTTGGATAAATAAGTTACGTGTATCCGGTCGACCGTGAAAATGGTAATTGTGGGTTAGGAGCTATTACATTACAACTGGCATTCGATTTAAAAAATCAGGTTGTCAAATTGATTCTTAATTCGACGTGCCTTAATGATTAGGACTGTCGTTTCTTTAATATTGTATCTGGATAATATAAAATATTAGCTGTAGGCCGCGACTTCGTCCGTTTGGCAAAAGTTATTTAAGGCAGCTAAAGCGTTAAAATTCAAAACATTTATTCGCTAGCTTTCGCCAGCGGCTTCGCCCGCGTGGACCCTAGGGAAATGTTTAGTAGGATAAAAAGTATCCTATTATCTAAGTCAGCTAACACCCTATATGTATACCAAATTTCATCAAAATCCGTTCAGTAGTTTCGGCGTGATTGACGTACAAACATCCAAACATCTAAACATCCAAACAAAGAAACTTTCACATTTATAATATTAATAGGATTATATCGTGTAAAATATCCGAATATAAATTGTTATGTATTTCAGGTGGATTATTTAACCATTTTTCATTAAAAAATACCCCAATATATAGTCGTCATGATGTTTGACAATGACGAACTTCCATACAAATTAACTCCATATATCAACCATTTTATCACAATAAAAAGCAACCTTATCGTTATGGCCTATCCTCCCTTGATTATATTCCATCCTGAGCTGAGGAAGGCCTGAGCTCCAGCGGTGGGGAAATTAATAAGCTGGAGATGACATGTCAATGACAATGACTGTCAAGGATTACGATACGAAACACGATTATTTATTTTATTACGAGGGTCAAACTGAAAGTTCTTAGAACTGGCCACTTATAAACAATATAATAAAAAAATAATTCTAAAATTTGAAAATATAACTCTTTGCCAATATTACTGAGTATATATTTCATTCATTTGTCATTTGTTTTACGATTTGGCGGCAAATTGAAAATTGTCTGTGTCACGTCATCATGAATTTAACACGAGAAAATTTTCGTGCAATGATTTTTTATGACTTTCGATGTCATTTAAGTCAACAAGAAAGTTATGATAGACTACGATTGGCCTTTCACGATGAAGCCCCATCTCGTGCGACTGTTTACAACTGGTTTAATGAGTTTAAACGTGGTCGCACTAATCTCACTGATGATTTACGTGAGGGACGGCCTTCTACGGCGACGACTGAAGATAACATCTGTGTTGTGCGGCGTATGATAGAGACTGACAAAAGAGTGACCTATCAACAGATTCGGACAAGCTTAGGCATCGGTATGAGTCAAGTGCACAAAATCCTCCACGAACATTTAGCGGTCAGGAAGCTTTGCGCCCGGTGGATACCTCATAATTTGACTGAGGCTCAAAAACTCCATCGTGTGGATTGGTGTCGTAAAATGATTGAAAGATTTAACGGAGGTGACTCAAATGCTGTGTTCGACATACTAACAGGTGACGAAAGCTGGATTTACTGTTATGATCCTAAAACCAAAAGACAATCTGCTCAGTGGGTGTTTCCTTTCGAGGAGTTGCCAACTAAAGTGAAGAGAGATCGAAGTGCGGGAAAAAAAATGGTGGCTTCGTTCTTTGGAAGGATAGGTCATTTTGCAACAATTGTGTTAGAGGATCAAAAAACAGTTTCTGCAGAATGGTACACTACCAATTGTTTGCCACTTATCTTGGAAAAAGTTCGAGAGAAACGACCTCGCAGTAGGATCCTCCTTCACCACGACAACGCCTCGTCGCACACCGCCAAGCGAACGATCGACTATTTGGCGACATCAAACGTTGAATTACTGGGTCACCCGCCGTATAGCCCCGACCTCGCGCCTTGTGATTTTTATTTATTTCCAAAAATTAAAGAAAAACTTAAAGGAAAGCGGTTTATGAATGCTGAAGAAGCGGTGGCTGCGTATCGCGATGCCATTGAAGAGACCCCTAAGGACGAGTGGGCAAAGTGCTTTTCCCAGTGGTTCCATCGCATGCAGCGGTGTATTGACGTGAATGGACAATATTTTGAAAAGATATAATAAAACTAATAACTGGCTAATGTAATCAGTTTTTGATTTTCTAAGAACTTTCAGTTTGACCCTCGTAATAGCAAAATATCCGCGATTTAAGAATAAAATTACTTTGATGTTTACCTTCGAAGACTACAACATCAACGACTACATGAAAAAGTTATATTGATTTATGGTACAGCAACAACAACATATAATTATCATGTAATTATCTGATTAATGTTACATGTTTCAGTACCTACGTAATTTCTGAAAACTTTAAAGTTATTTATCCAATTTTAAATACAGACGGAACAAAATACAAATCTAAACTTTATTTTAAATCTCAACTTTGTCCAAAACGTGCGGTTTAGAAATATACTTAACGCCATCTAGTATAGCTCAAAAAATATAAAATGTGTTATCTTTCGTATATACTATAATGATATTTACTTGAATATAAAAAAATGTGTCATTTCTGTTATAAATTATGTACTTTAATACCAATTTTTATCACTATATAAGGAAATATTTACAAATAATATTAGTTTAATTGTTAATTAATAACACTGACAAATCAAATAATAACAAATGTCTGCTAGGGTAACAATTTGATTCTCAATAAAAAAAACCTCTTCCATTTTCATCCCTTTAGTATTGGTATTCAGGATAAAATACAACCTGTTACCTTCACAGGGTTTAAAACAACCTCTAACTGTTCTACTGCTCATTGTCATATGTAACTGGTGTCAGTTTCGTTGCCCCGTGTCTGTTCATGAGGGTATTGAGGGTGCATCAGACAGAGTAGACGTATCTACTACCATGGCTTTAGGAGAGTCCTACATATATATTAAAGAACCGATGGCATTGAATTAGACTTTCACAGTTACACTCTTATTGATTATACATACATATAAATTGATAAATCAGTATATTTTCTTATGATATATTTCATATAATTTCTGATTAAGAATGTTTACAACTGCAAAATTGGCACTAATATACTACATACGATGCCTTTACCTACTTAATTCTGAAATGATTCTAATTTTCGTATATGTATTTAGAAAAAAAAAACATCTGAACAAGTTTAACTGGTAAATGAAGTATCATATTGATTACTTTTGACATTCAACATAAAATGTTTATTATAATGATTCTAAAAAAGTCTTTTCTTAAATTCATTATGTATCATTCAAAAATATCAATTAATTTTTTTATTAACAGTCCAATGATAACTATATTATTAATTTCGTTTCTGAATATAGTTATAATTGAAACTAACTCGTAGAATGAGTTTAAGTCGGCTTATATCTTGACGTCATGTTGATTGTACTTATTCGCATTTCAAAATAGGTAAGATTTTCCTGTCTCTATTGAGGAAATGGTTAAAAAATCCTAGGAGATTTAAATCCCTTGACCTCATATGCTTGCTTTATACTTACCAATTGTTCACTTAAGGTTGGATTACCTTAAGACACGAAATGCCAACAAGGATAGAATTCTGATGAGCTTACTCGATTACCTGTCCTTTTTACAAGGTAATACAGTACAGTAATAGATCCTATATGAAAATGCTACTAGGTCTCGGGTACCACTCCTACATGAAGGCATTCCCAAGGTTTTTAGTAGGTAAGCGAGAAGGCTCTTTGACTTATTCAATTTTATAACCACTGAGTTGGTCTATTAGCAGGAGAAATTCCCACACAACACAACCCCTGACGTCCCTTCAGCTAGCAGGGACAGTGCGTTTTCCTGGATCAAAAATAAAAAAAAAGATTTTAATCTTATAAG